AAATATAATATAACACACACACGTACACATGCACAACATGTACAAAGGAAGCTCAGCATACACCTGAATGCAGCATAGAGCTTCGTACTTGGTGATGTACTTGATGTGTTTTACTTGTAATATATATATCCTTTTCTTTTCGTTTGTCTCTGCATGCATGCAGGCGGCGAATTCACCGCATGGTCTGAATGCGATGCTGAAGGACTGCAGCACAGAAACCTTGAGGGTTGCCCCGACATCGTCGAGGTCACCACCTGCGGCAGTACGTCTTTATCTTTATACGAAGTTTTTTTCACTTCTTCTTTGACTTCTCTACATGCATTTGTATTGTTGTGTTGTTTGTATTTGTTTAATAATTATTTATTTGGGTCGTTGTGGTACATCATGAAGCTTTCAATGATCAGGGGAGAAAGAAAGAGAGCTGATGGTTGCTATTTGTTTTTCTTTTTTTTTGTGTTTTTATAGGTGAGGAATGCCCGCCCTTCGGCGAGTGGAGTGAGTGCGGTAGCCCAGAAGACGGCGTGCGTTCTCGCCAGCGCATCGACTGCACACCAAGCGATGTGTGCCAGTGCTCCGAGATAGAGAGCTGTTTCAATACAGAACTCAGACCCCCCACACCACCTGAGCCTGAGACAGGAGCCGGTGAAGCAGGAGAAGGAGAAACCGGAAAAGAAGAGGGAGGTGAAGAATCAGGTGTAAGCGGTGGTGAAGGAGGAGAGGGAGAGACCGGTGGTGCAGGCGGAGAGACCACTGGTGAAGGAGAGGGAGAGACCGGTGGTGCANGAGAGGGAGAGACCGGTGGTGCAGGCGGAGAGACCACTGGTGAAGGAGAGGGAGAGACCGGTGGTGCAGGAGGAGAGGGAGAGGAGTCAGGCGAAGCGGAGACCCCAGTAACCCCCCCAGAAGAGGAGCTTCCCGAGGAGAGTGAAACAGAGCCAGAGCAGAAACCTGAAGAGGAGGAGGGTCAAGAGAAGCCAGGCGAAGTAGTAGAAGAAGGGGAAGCTGTAGTAGAGCCCGCACCAGGAGCCCCTGAGGTTGCACCTGAACACCCAGAGGCCCCACCCAGCAACGAGGGTCCAGAGGGCCCCCACAAGCCCGAGGCTGAGGAGGAAGAAGAGAAGGAAGAAGGTGGCGGCTTCCCAACAGCTGCAGTGGCAGGAGGTGTTGGTGGTGTTCTGCTGCTCGCCGCTGTAGGAGGAGGAGTTGCAGCTTTCACCGGCGGCGGTGGTGGCGGTGCAGGAGCAACGGAAGCAGAACAAGTTGAGTTCGAAGGAGAAGATACCGGAGCAGGAGCTGCCGAGACACCCGAAGCCGATA